GCCAGTTACTCTATCTCAGCCCAACCTATCTCACAGGGTTGTACTGTGGCACAGATTTGTATTAGTACCACTTTATAAATCCTTACTAAAACCACACCTGGAATCCAGCATCCAGTTTTGGTCACCATATTACAAAACAGATGTTGAGACTTTGGAAAAAGTGCAGAGAAGTATGCAGTGGAGTACCCCAAGGCTCTGTTTTGAGCCCAGTACTCTTCAACATCTTCATCAATGACTTGGACGAGGGGATAGATGGGGAATTCATCAAATTTGCAGATGACACCAAGCTGGCAGGAATAGCCAACACTCCAGAAGATAGGCTCAAGAAACAGAAGGATCTTGACAGACTTGAACATTGGGTGCTATCTAACAAAATGAAATTCAACAGTGAAAAAAGTAAGGTTCTACATTTAGGGAAGAAAAATAAAATGCACATGTACAGTATATGTGGTACCTTGCTCAATAGTACTAACTATGAGAGAGATCTTGGAATCCTAGTGGACAACCATTTAAATATGAGCCAGCCATATGCAGCAGCTGCCAAAAAAGCCAACATAGTTCTAAGCTGCATAAACAGAGGGATAGAATCAAGATCACGTGAAGTGTTAATACCACTTTATAATGCCTTGGTTGGAATACTGCATTCACAATGTAAAAAATGATGTGGAGACTCTAGAAAGTGTGCAGAGAAGATCAACTGGGATGATTAGGGGACTGAAGGCTAAAACATATGAAGAACGGTTGCAGGAACTGGGTATGTCTAGTTTAATGAAAAGAAGAACTGAGGGTAGGACAAGAAGCAATGGGTGGAAACTAATCAAGGAGAGAAGCAACCTGGAATTAAAGAGAAACTTCCTAACAGTGAAGACAATTGACCAGTGGAACAGCTTGCCTTCAGAAGTTGTAGGTGTTTCATCACTGGAGGTTTTTAAGAGGCGACTGGACAGCCACTTGTCAAAAAATGGTATAAGGTCACCTGCTTGAGCAGGGGGTTGGACTAGAAGACCTGCAAGATCCCTTTGAGTTGTATTCTGATTGAAATTGATTGAAACCTGGTCTTCCGGGTGTACTTCAAGGTTTTGGTTATCACCTTTAGAGTGCTCCGTGGCTTAGGACCTAGTTATTTACGGGACTGCCTGCTACCACCAATAGCCTCCCACTGGCCGGTACGCTCTCATAGAGAGGAGCTCCTCCGGGTGCCATCGGCCAAACAATGTCGACTGGCGGCCCCCAGGGGGAGAGCCTTCTCTGTGGGGGCACCTACGATCTGGAACGAGCTCCCCCCAGAGATACGGAGGATCCCGGATCTGCGCACCTTCTGTCGCGCTCTCAAGACTTTTTTATTCCATCAAGCTGGCCTGGCCTAAATCTTTCCCCTTTAAAATGTAAATTTTAATTTGTTTTTAAAATTATTGGGTGTTTTAAATTTGTCTCGACCAAATTGTTTAATTCGGTTTTATTCTGTTTTTAAATTTTGTATTTATATGTTTTATTCTGTGGCTGTTCACTGCCCTGAGTCCTTCGGGAGTAGGGCGGTATATAAATCCAATAAATGAAATGAAATGAAACCTCTATAAGTGTCTGGTTTGGACAGGACAAGGTTGTTATTGTGGGGCAGAAAAGGAATAGAATAGAATAACAGAGTTGGAAGGGACCTTGGAGGTCTTCTAGTCCAACCCCCTGCTTAGGCAGGAAACCCCACACCACTTCAGACAAATGGTTATCCAACATCAGGAGGAAGAAGGAGTGTTGGATGTGTTTGCTGCCTTGAGTTATTTATATTAAAAAAAAATGATTACAGATTAACAGAGTTGGAAGGGACCTTATAGGTCATCTTGTCCAACACCCCCCCACTACTCAACCAGGAGACCCTACACCATTTCTGACAACTGGCAATCCAGTCTCTTCTTGAAAGCTTCCAGTGACGAAGCTCCTGCAACTTCCAAAGGCAAAGCTGATAATAAATGCAGGTCAAAAATAAATGCACACTCTAACCACATGCTAACCATCGCCCAACTATATCTTGAACATGTGTTCAGGGAACTGAGAAGATGAAGGGAAAAATGAGTGAGACACCCTTTTATGTTAAGGGATATGTAAATTATAGGACAACTTCCTATTTAAATAAGCCAAGGCACCTTTTTCCCGCCAGACTGCAAGGAGAAACATAAAGGGTGATTGGTTGTCTGAATGCTCTTCGTACAATCCAAGTGAACAAAAATGATTCTTTGGCTATATTTGACCTGTGCAGTAGCAGTTCTCAAAGGTAAATTATTTTTCCGCCATTCGTATACCAGAGTCTTCTATTTCTCTCTCTCTCTTTCTGTGTAATGGAATTCAGGAATATATATATATATATATTCCAAGTTCGAATCCAAGTAAGGGTATGGCTAGCAGATGAGAGCTAAATAGCTTGAAATAGATCTATACTAGTCTCCCTTTATTTCTTTATCAGCGAAATATAAAGTTGGTATAAAATGGTTTGTCGTGAATGTGACTGCTTGAGGGCTCCTGGATTGGAGCTGAAAGGCGAAAGGGATGTAGTATGCTCCCTCCCACATGCTGGGGTAGACCAGGTGTCTCGATAGAAAAATACTTAATCTCTCCCCTGGCTCAAGCTGATGAAGGGAGGAGAACTTGTGGCTCAGAGGTTAATACAACTGCCTAACATGCAGGCAGCCCAAGTTCAAATCCAAGTAAGGGTATGGCCAGCTGGTGAGACCTAAATAGTTTGAAATAGATCTATCCTAGTCTCCCTTTATTTCTTTATCAGTGAAATATAAATTGGATATATTCTTCTTTCCAGGGGCCCAGTCTCAAATCCGGTTGGTGGAGTCTGGAGGGGATGTGAAACGGCCTGGCGAGTCTCTCCGTCTATCCTGCAGAGCCTCCGGCATCAATTTGATTGACTATTCCATGGGCTGGGTGAGACAGGCTCCAGGGAAAGGTCTGGAATGGATTTCCCATATCGATCCAAATTCATCTAGCATTAAGTACTCGGACAAAGTCCAGGGGCGCTTCACCGTCTCCAGGGACAATGACAACAACCAGCTGTATCTGCAGATGAATGGCTTCACAGAAGATGACGGTGCAGACTATTATTGTGCGAGTTACACAGCGAGAGGAAGTGAATCTGATGCCCAGCAAAAACCCAGAAATAGGAGCCTCTCTCTTTCCTCTTAAGAAAGAAGCCTACAGATCAACCTATTGATGGGAACCCAGCGACATTTTTATTACTCACTAGAAAATATACTAAAGAAATAAAATAGCAGTGACTGTGAGAGGGATCTTGGAGTCTTGGTGGACAACTAGTTAAATATGAGCCAGCAGTGTGCAGCGACAGCCAAAAAAAGCCAGTGCAATCCTAAATTGCATTAGCAGAGGGATACAATCAAGATCAAGTGAGGTATTAATACCACCTTATAAAGCCCTAGTAAGACCACAGCTAGAGTACTGCATCCAGTTTTGATCACCACATTATAAAAAAGATGTTGAGACTCTAGAAAAAGTGCAGAGAAGATCAACTGGGATGATTAGGGGATTGGAGGCTAAAACATATGAAGAACGGTTGCAGGAACTGGCATGTCTAGTTTAATGAAAAGAAGAACTGAGGGTAGGACAAGAAGCAATGGGTGGAAACTAATCAAGGAGAGAAGCAACCTGGAATTAAAGAGAAACTTCCTAACAGTGAAGACAATTGACCAGTGGAACAGCTTGCCTTCAGAAGTTGTAGGTGTTTCATCACTGGAGGTTTTTAAGAGGCGACTGGACAGCCACTTGTCAAAAAATGGTATAAGGTCACCTGCTTGAGCAGGGGGTTGGACTAGAAGACCTGCAAGATCCCTTTGAGTTGTATTCTGATTGAAATTGATTGAAACCTGGTCTTCCGGGTGTACTTCAAGGTTTTGGTTATCACCTTTAGAGCGCTCCATGGCTTAGGACCTAGTTATTTATGGGACTGCCTGCTACCACCAATAGCCTCCCACTGGCCGGTACGCTCTCATAGAGAGGAGCTCCTCCGGGTGCCGTCGGCCAAACAATGTCGACTGGCGGCCCCCAGGGGGAGAGCCTTCTCTGTGGGGGCACCTACGATCTGGAACGAGCTCCCCCCGGAGATACGGAGGATCCCGGATCTGCGCACCTTCTGTCGCGCTCTCAAGACTTTTTTATTCCATCAAGCTGGCCTGGCCTAAATCTTTCCCCTTTAAAATGTAAATTTTAATTTGTTTTTAAAATTATTGGGTGTTTTAAATTTGTCTCGGCCAAATTGTTTAATTCAGTTTTATTCTGTTTTTAAATTTTGTATTTATATGTTTTATTCTGTGGCTGTTCACTGCCCTGAGTCCTTCGGGAGTAGGGCGGTATATAAATCCAATAAATGAAATGAAATGAAACCTCTATAGCTGTCTGGTTTGGACAGGACAAGGTTGTTATTGTGGGGCAGAAAAGGAATAGAATAGAATAACAGAGTTGGAAGGGACCTTGGAGGTCTTCTAGTCCAACCCCCTGCTTAGGCAGGAAACCCCACACCACTTCAGACAAATGGTTATCCAACATCAGGAGGAAGAAGGAGTGTTGGATGTGTTTGCTGCCTTGAGTTATTTATATTAAAAAAAAATGATTACAGATTAACAGAGTTGGAAGGGACTTTATAGGTCATCTTGTCCAAACTCCCACACACACACTCAAACAGGAAACCCTACACCATTTCTGACAACTGGCAGTCCAGTCTCTTCTTGAAAGCTTCCAGTGACGAAGCTCCTGCAACTTCCAAAGGCAAAGCTGATAATAAACGCAGGTCAAAAATAAATGCACACTCTAACCACATGCTAACCATCGCCCAACTATATCTTGAACATGTGTTCGGGGAACTGAGAAGACGAAGGAAAAAATGAGTGAGACACCCTTTTATGTTGAGGGATATGTAAATTATAGGACAACTTCCTATTTAAATAAGCCAAGGCACCTTTTTCCCCCCAGACTGCAAGGAGAAACTTAAAGGGTGATTGGTTGTCTGAATGCTCTTCGTACAATCCAAGTGAACAAAAATGATTCTTTGGCTATATTTGACCTGTGCAGTAGCAGTTCTCAAAGGTAAATTGTTTTTCCCCCATTCGTATACCAGAGTCTTCTATTTCTCTCTCTCTCTTTCCGTGTAATGGAATTCAGGAATATATATATATATATATATTCCAAGTTCGAATCCAAGTAAGGGTATGGCTAGCAGATGAGAGCTAAATAGCTTGAAATAGATCTATACTAGTCTCCCTTTATTTCTTTATCAGCAAAATATAAAGTTGGTATAAAATGGTTTGTCGTGAATGTGACTGCTTGAGGGCTCCTGGATTGGAGCTGAAAGGCGAAAGGGATGCAGTATGCTCCCTCCCACATGCTGGGGTAGACCAGGTGTCTCGATAGAAAAATACTTAATCTCTCCCCTGGCTCAAGCTGATGAAGAGAGGAGAACTTGTGGCTCAGAGGTTAATACAACTGCCTAACATGCAGGCAGCCCAAGTTCAAATCCAAGTAAGGGTATGGCCAGCTGATGAGACCTAAATAGTTTGAAATAGATCTATCCTAGTCTCCCTTTATTTCTTTATCAGTGAAATATAAATTGGATATATTCTTCTTTCCAGGGGCCCAGTCTCAAATCCGGTTGGTGGAGTCTGGAGGGGATGTGAAACGGCCTGGCGAGTCTCTCCGTCTATCCTGCAGAGCCTCCGGCATCAATTTGATTGACTATTCCATGGGCTGGGTGAGACAGGCTCCAGGGAAAGGTCTGGAATGGATTTCCCATATCGATCCAAATTCATCTAGCATTAAGTACTCGGACAAAGTCAAGGGGCGCTTCACCATCTCCAGGGACAATGACAACAATCAGCTGTATCTGCAGATGAATGGCTTCAAAGAAGAGGACAGCGCACACTATTATTGTGCGAGTTACACAGCGAGAGGAAGTGAATCTGATGCCCAGCAAAAACCCAGAAATAGGAGCCTCTCTCTTTCCTCTTAAGAAAGAAGCCTACAGATCAACCTATTGATGGGAAACCAGCGACATTTTCACTAGAAAATATACTAAAGAAATAAAATAGCAGTGACTGTGAGAGGGATCTTGGAGTCTTGGTGGACAACCAGTTAAATATGAGCCAGCAGTGTGCAGCGACAGCCAAAAAAAGCCAGTGCAATCCTAAATTGCATTAGCAGAGGGATACAATCAAGATCAAGTGAGGTATTAATACTACCTTATAAAGCCCTAGTAAGACCACACCTAGAGTACTGCATCCACATTATAAAAAAGATGTTGAGACTCTAGAAAAAGTGCAGAGAAGATCAACTGGGATGATTAGGGGATTGGAGGCTAAAACATATGAAGAACGGTTGCAGGAACTGGGTATGTCTAGTTTAATGAAAAGAAGAACTGAGGGTAGGACAAGAAGCAATGGGTGGAAACTAATCAAGGAGAGAAGCAACCTGGAATTAAAGAGAAACTTCCTAACAGTGAAGACAATTGACCAGTGGAACAGCTTGCCTTCAGAAGTTGTAGGTGTTTCATCACTGGAGGTTTTTAAGAGGCGACTGGACAGCCACTTGTCAAAAAATGGTATAAGGTCACCTGCTTGAGCAGGGGGTTGGACTAGAAGACCTGCAAGATCCCTTTGAGTTGTATTCTGATTGAAATTGATTGAAACCTGGTCTTCTGGGTGTACTTCAAGGTTTTGGTTATCACCTTTAGAACGCTCCATGGCTTAGGACCTAGTTATTTACGGGACTGCCTGCTACCACCAATAGCCTCCCACTGGCCGGTACGCTCTCATAGAGAGGAGCTCCTCCGGGTGCCATCGGCCAAACAATGTCGACTGGCGGCCCCCAGGGGGAGAGCCTTCTCTGTGGGGGCACCTACGATCTGGAACGAGCTCCCCCCGGAGATACGGAGGATCCCGGATCTGCGCACCTTCTGTCGCGCTCTCAAGACTTTTTTATTCCATCAAGCTGGCCTGGCCTAAATCTTTCCCCTTTAAAATGTAAATTTTAATTTGTTTTAAAAATTATTGGGTGTTTTAAATTTGTCTCGACCAAATTGTTTAATTCAGTTTTATTCTGTTTTTAAATTTTGTATTTATATGTTTTATTCTGTGGCTGTTCACTGCCCTGAGTCCTTCGGGAGTAGGGCGGTATATAAATCCAATAAATGAAATGAAATGAAACCGCTATAACTGTCTGGTTTGGACAGGACAAGGTTGTTATTGTGGGGCAGAAAAGGAATAGAATAGAATAACAGAGTTGGAAGGGGCCTTGGAGGTCTTCTAGTCCAACCCCCTGCTTAGGCAGGAAACCCCACACCACTTCAGACAAATGGTTATCCAACATCAGGAGGAAGAAGGAGTGTTGGATGTGTTTGCTGCCTTGAGTTATTTATATTAAAAAAAAAATGATTACAGATTAACAGAGTTGGAAGGGACCTTATAGGTCATCTTGTCCAACCCCCCCCCCCCACACTCAAACAGGAGACCCTACACCATTTCTGACAACTGGCAGTCCAGTCTCTTCTTGAAAGCTTCCAGTGACGAAGCTCCTGCAACTTCCAAAGGCAAAGCTGATAATAAATGCAGGTCAAAAATAAATGCACACTCTAACCACATGCTAACCATCGCCCAACTATATCTTGAACATGTGTTTAGGGAACTGAGAAGACGAAGGGAAAAATGAGTGAGACACCCTTTTATGTTGAGGGATATGTAAATTATAGGACAACTTCCTATTTAAATAAGCCAACACACCTTTTTCCCGCCAGACTGCAAGGAGAAACTTAAAGGGTGATTGGTTGTCTGAATGCTCTTCGTACAATCCAAGTGAACAAAAATGATTCTTTGGCTATATTTGACCTGTGCAGTAGCAGTTCTCAAAGGTAAATTATTTTTCCGCCATTCGTATACCAGAGTCTTCTATTTCTCTCTCTCTCTTTCTGTGTAATGGAATTCAGGAATATATATATATATATATTCCAAGTTCGAATCCAAGTAAGGGTATGGCTAGCAGATGAGAGCTAAATAGCTTGAAATAGATCTATACTAGTCTCCCTTTATTTCTTTATCAGCGAAATATAAAGTTGGTATAAAATGGTTTGTCATGAATGTGACTGCTTGAGGGCTCCTGGATTGGAGCTGAAAGGCGAAAGGGATGCAGTATGCTCCCTCCCACATGCTGGGGTAGACCAGGTCTCTCGATAGAAAAATACTTAATCTCTCCCCTGGCTCAAGCTGATGAAGGGAGGAGAACTTGTGGCTCAGAGGTTAATACAACTGCCTAACATGCAGGCAGCCCAAGTTCAAATCCAAGTAAGGGTATGGCCAGCTGGTGAGACCTAAATAGTTTGAAATAGATCTATCCTAGTCTCCCTTTATTTCTTTATCAGTGAAATATAAATTGGATATATTCTTCTTTCCAGGGGCCCAGTCTCAAATCCAGTTGGTGGAGTCTGGAGGGGATGTGAAACGGCCTGGCGAGTCTCTCCGTCTATCCTGCAGAGCCTCCAGCATCAATTTGATTGACTATTCCATGGGCTGGGCGAGACAGGCTCCAGGGAAAGGTCTGGAATGGATTTCCCATATCGATCCAAATTCATCTAGCATTAAGTACTCGGACAAAGTCCAGGGGCGCTTCACCGTCTCCAGGGACAATGACAACAACCAGCTGTATCTGCAGATGAATGGCTTCAAAGAAGAGGATAGCGGACACTATTATTGTGTGAGTTACACAGCGAGAGGAAGTGAATCGGATGCCCAGCAAAAACCCAGAAATAGGAGCCTCTCTCTTTCCTCTTAAGAAAGAAGCCTACAGATCAACCTATTGATGGGAAACCAGCGACATTTTCACTAGAAAATATACTAAAGAAATAAAATAGCAGTGACTGTGAGAGGGATCTTGGAGTCTTGGTGGACAACCAGTTAAATATGAGCCAGCAGTGTGCAGCGACAGCCAAAAAAAGCCAGTGCAATCCTAAATTGCATTAGCAGAGGGATACAATCAAGATCAAGTGAGGTATTAATACCACCTTATAAAGCCCTAGTAAGACCACACCTAGAGTACTGCATCCACATTATAAAAAAGATGTTGAGACTCTAGAAAAAGTGCAGAGAAGATCAACTGGGATGATTAGGGGATTGGAGGCTAAAACATATGAAGAACAGTTGCAGGAACTGGGTATGTCTAGTTTAATGAAAAGAAGAACTGAGGGTAGGACAAGAAGCAATGGGTGGAAACTAATCAAGGAGAGAAGCAACCTGGAATTAAAGAGAAACTTCCTAACAGTGAAGACAATTGACCAGTGGAACAGCTTGCCTTCAGAAGTTGTAGGTGTTTCATCACTGGAGGTTTTTAAGAGGCGACTGGACAGCCACTTGTCAAAAAATGGTATAAGGTCACCTGCTTGAGCAGGGGGTTGGACTAGAAGACCTGCAAGATCCCTTTGAGTTGTATTCTGATTGAAATTGATTGAAACCTGGTCTTCCGGGTGTACTTCAAGGTTTTGGTTATCACCTTTAGAACGCTCCATGGCTTAGGACCTAGTTATTTACGGGACTGCCTGCTACCACCAATAGCCTCCCACTGGCCGGTACGCTCTCATAGAGAGGAGCTCCTCCGGGTGCCGTCGGCCAAACAATGTCAACTGGCGGCCCCCAGGGGGAGAGCATACTCTCTGGGGGCACCTACGATCTGGAACGAGCTCCACCCGGAGATACGGAGGATCCCGGATCTGCGCACCTTCTGTCACGCTCTCAAGACTTTTTTATTCCATCAAGCTGGCCTGGCCTAAATCTTTCCCCTTTAAAATGTAAATTTTAATTTGTTTTTAAAATTATTGTGTGTTTTAAATTTGTCTCCGCCAAATTGTTTAATTCAGTTTTATTCTGTTTTTAAATTTTGTATTTATATGTTTTATTCTGTGGCTGTTCACTGCGCTGAGTCCTTCGGGAGTAGGGCGGTATATAAATCCAATAAATGAAATGAAATGAAACCTCTATAGCTGTCTGGTTTGGACAGGACAAGGTTGTTATTGTGGGGCAGAAAAGGAATAGAATAGAATAACAGAGTTGGAAGGGACCTTGGAGGTCTTCTAGTCCAACCCCCTGCTTAGGCAGGAAACCCCACACCACTTCAGACAAATGGTTATCCAACATCAGGAGGAAGAAGGAGTGTTGGATGTGTTTGCTGCCTTGAGTTATTTATATTAAAAAAAAATGATTACGGATTAACAGAGTTGGAAGGGACCTTATAGGTCATCTTGTCCAACCCCCCCCCACACTCAAACAGGAGACCCTACACCATTTCTGACAACTGGCAGTCCAGTCTCTTCTTGAAAGCTTCCAGTGACGAAGCTCCTGCAACTTCCAAAGGCAAAGCTGATAATAAATGCAGGTCAAAAATAAATGCACACTCTAACCACATGCTAACCATCGCCCAACTATATCTTGAACATGTGTTCAGGGAACTGAGAAGACAAAGGGAAAAATGAGTGAGACGCCCGTTTATGTTAAGGGATATGTAAATTATAGGACAACTTCCTATTTAAATAAGCCAAGACACTTTTTTCCCCCCAGACTGCAAGGAGAAACTTAAAGGGTGATTGGTTGTCTGAATGCTCTTCGTACAATCCAAGTGAACAAAAATGATTCTTTGGCTATATTTGACCTGTGCAGTAGCAGTTCTCAAAGGTAAATTATTTTTCCCCCATTCGTATACCAGAGTCTTCTATTTCTCTCTCTCTCTTTCTGTGTAATGGAATTCAGGAATATATATATATATATATATATATATATTCCAAGTTCGAATCCAAGTAAAGGTATGGCTAGCAGATGAGAGCTAAATAGCTTGAAATAGATCTATACTATTCTCCCTTTATTTCTTTATCAGCGAAATATAAAGTTGGTATAAAATGGTTTGTCGTGAATGTGACTGCTTGAGGGCTCCTGGATTGGAGCTGAAAGGCGAAAAGGATGCAGTATGCTCCCTCCCACATGCTGGGGTAGACCAGGTGTCTCGATAGAAAAATACTTAATCTCTCCCCTGGCTCAAGCTGATGAAGGGAGGAGAAATTGTGGCTCAGAGGTTAATACAACTGCCTAACATGCAGGCAGGGGGGAAATGTAAATATTAATTTAATTTAATTAATCATATTTCTATGCCGCCCAACTTCCAAGGGACTCTGGGCAGCTTACAACAAAAATAATACAAACAATGAACATATTTTTTTTTAAAAAAAAACATTATAAAAGCATTTTAAAATCATTAAAAACCCATGCACACCATCCATGGCCAGATCTCGCAAGATTGAACAGTGAGATCAATGGCCCCAGGCCTGCCGGAAAAGCCAGGTCTTCACCGCTTTCCGGAAGGCCAATAGGGTGGGGGTAGTCTGGGCCTCACGGGGTAATTGGTTCCAGAGAGCTGGGGCAGCCACAGAGAAGGCCCTCCCCCGCAGGCCTGCCAGCCAGCATTGTTTAGCTGACGGGACCCGGAGGTGACCAACTCTGTGGGATCTTACCGGTCGCTGAGAGATGACGTTACCGGTCATTACGAAACAGTTGTAAAAAGGAAACATATATCATGTTTTTTGTGTTTTGTGTTGGTTATATTGTGTGGAGTTATAAGTAAAAATAAATTTAAAAAAAGAAACTTTTTTTTTGTACCTCTATAACTTATATGCAGAGCACATCATGAGAAAGGCGGGACTAGATGAATCACAAACTGGAATTAAGATTGCCAGGAGAAATATTAACAACCTCGGATATACAGATGATACCATCCTAATTGCAGAAGGCGAAGAGGAATAAAGAGCCTCTTGATGGGGGTGAAGGAGGAGAGTGCAAAAGTTAGCTTGAAGCTCAATATTAAGAAAACTAAGATTGTGACATCCGGCCCTCTCAATTCCTGGCAAATTAGATGGGGGAAGAAAGGGAGGTAGTGACAGATTTTATTTTCCTAGGCTCCAAGATCACCACAGATGGGGACTGCAGCCAAGAAATTAAAAGACACTTGCTCCTGGGAAGGAAAACCATAGCAAATCTAGACAGCATACTAAAAAGCAGAAACATCACCCTGCCAACAAAAGTGTGTATAGTGAAGGTTATGGTTTTCCCAGTTGCAATGTATGGCTGTGAAAGTTGGACCATAAGGAAAGCTGAGCGCCGACTTCCAGTTGGCGCCGCGGGGATACAGACGGGGATACAGACGGGGAAATGGCGAGCTCCGCCAAAACCCCATCTGCCAAGCTGCTGCCGACAGGTTTTCGGACTTCCCCTGTCTTGAAGGGACAGGGGGACAAGAAGGGACCTCTTGGGCAGCCGAGAGGAATGGGCAGGTTCCTCGGGGCCAGAGGCTTTCCCCTCACGCCGGTGGCAGTGGAACAACAGCCATGGCGGCTGTCCTGAAACCGCAGCAACCGGGAACAAAGATCATGCTGGAGAAGAGGAGGAGAAGCGAGAAGCAGAGAGCGGAGCAGGGGGTTTGAAAGCTGGGTGAGTCGACTTCTGCCCAGGCGGGAACTGCCCGTAAAGAGAAACTTTGTTGCCTGTTACTTAAAGTGGATTATTTTGAGAAAAATTTCAAGAGGCTTGACTTTGGACATATAATTGGACATATAATCTGTGTATTGGAGGATATTGAAGACCAGAAAGAAGAAACTAAATGGAATAATGAAAATTGATTTATTAAGCGTGACAAGAGAAAAAGGGCGTGGCAACAAAAGAAGAACATGATGATACCATATATGGAATAGTCAATTCAGAATTAACTTTATAGAACTTATAACTCTGAGGACATTGAAATGGAAAATAAATATACTCAGATAGATTGGAGAAGGAAAAAAAATGGAATATACAAGTAACAAGATAACAAAATACCATAGTTTGAATTAAATGGATGTAATGGTGTCTGGGAATTTGATCTTTGAATAATTTTAGGAGATACCTTCCTTCTTCTCTGGCAGGATAACCAATATCCTGCCAGAAAACCAGGCCACAAAACCAGGCTATTGCTTAACGCATTGTAAGCCGCACTGAGTCTCCGGAGAAAGGTGGCATATAAATCAAATCCAAAAAAAAAAAAAAAGGAACATTTAATGTGCTTCATGTTAATGTACTCAAGGAAGCTGGATAGTTACAGTGTACATATCAATGTTTCCTTTCCAGGTGTGCAAATGGAGGTCCAGCTGGTGGAATCAGGAGGGGATGTGAGAAGGCCTGGGGAGTCCCTCTGTCTCTCCTGCCAAGCCTCTGGATTCACCTTCAGCCGCTATGATTTCATCTCGGTGACACAGTTTCCAGGGAAAGGACTGGAATGGGTTGCATGGATAGACAGTCCTGGAGATGGGAGCAGGCACTCTTACTCCAACTCTGCGAAAGACCGTTTCACCATCTCCCGGCGAGATGCCTCGAGCATGCTTTATCTCCAAATGAACAACTTGAAACCAGAGGACACGGCTGTGTATTACTGTGTTAGAGAGCCACAGTGAGAGGAAGTTGTGGTGAAGCCTGTCAGAATCCCTCATTTTTCATGGCTGCAATCCACATTCACTCAGTTTCCGTGGCCTGAATTAAAAACAAAAGAAGTTAGCTCTCCATGCCGATGAGCAAGCCAACCCCCATTCATTTTGTCCCCTGGGGAACTAGAAAAACCACTTATATTCAACTAGTTGAATGACGTTGATTACTCCTGCCCCAGTTTCTGTTTGGTTAGTCAACAAACATGGTTTAGTGTTTTCCCTCTGTGCTATAGAAACACACAAGGAATTTGTCTTTGATGCATATGCTCTCAGTGTACATAAAAGAAAAGATACATTCATCAAGAATCATAAAGTATAACACTTAATGATAGTCATAGGGAAACAGTCAATATAAATCTTAAGGATACCAGCAACAAGGTTACAGTCATACAGTCATAAGTGGGAGGAGATGGATGATAGGAACGATGAGAAGATAGTAATGCAGACTTAGTAAATAGTTTGACAGTGTTGACGGAATTATTTGTTTAGCAGAGTGACGGCATTCGGGGAAAAAACTGTTCTAGTGTCTAGTTGTTCTGGTGTGCAGTGCTCTATAGTGTCATTTTGAGGGTAGGAGTTGAAACAGTTTATATCCAGGATGTGACATTATGCTTTCTTCGAGATTTTTCAAAAAGTGTTGTTGCTATAGTCAGCCAACTCGGGTTCTCTTTTATCCTGAAGTATATGTAAATACAGACAGAACCTTCCTCTTTATATGACAACATCTCCCACCCTTTTCAAGCTGCAACTGGAAAGCAAAAGCTTGTTTGCCTGGAACTTCCCCACATAGAAAGAAAAATGATATTTTTACTCCAACTAGGCTTCATTTTCTCTGTCTTCAAAGGTAATGGTTCTTCCATCCAGAGATAGAAGCTAAAAGGCTCCAATAAGTTTGAGGTTATGGGACTGCAATAAACTAAGGTTAAAGTGTACATATCGATCTTTCCTTTCCAGATGCCCAAATGGAAGTCCAGCTAGTGGAATCTGGAGGGGATGTGAGAAGGCCTGGGGAGTCCCTCCATCTCTCCTGCCAAACTTCAGGCTTCACCTTCAGCAGCTATGAGATCAGCTGGGGAGACAGGCTCCAGGGAAAGGACTGGAATGGCTTGCATTGGTAGATAATCCTGGAGATGGGAGGACCCAATTCTATGCCAATTCTGTGAAAGGCCGTTTCACCATCTCCCGGCATGAGGCCTCCAGCCTGGCCTATCTCCAAATGAACAACTTGAAACCAGAGGACACCACTGTGTATTACTGTGCTAGAGGAACACATACTGTGAGAAGAAGCTGTGGTGAAGCCTGTCAAAATCCATCATTGTTTGTGGCTGCGATCCAAATTGACTCAGCTTCTGTTAAAAGCAACGGAAGTTAGCTCTCCATGCAGATGAGCAGAGCCAATCCCCATTCATTTCCTCCCCTAGGGAAACTAGAAAAAACTGCTTATATTCAACTACTTGAAGTACACTGAACATTTCTGACCCAGTTCTCTTTGCTTAGTCACCATTCGTGGGAAAGTGTTTTCCCCCTTGTTGCTATAAGAATGGGAATTATCTATCTATCTATCTATCTATCTGTCTGTCTGTCTGTCTGTCTGTCTGTCTGTCTGTCTGTCTGTCTGTCTTTTTGTTTGTTTGTTTGTTTGTTTGTTTGTTTGTTTGTTTGTTTGTTTAGCAGTATTTATATGCCGCCCTTCTCCTGAAGGACTCAGGGCAGCGAACACAGGTTAAAAACATACAATGATAAAATAATAAAATCCCGTTAAAACCAAATTAAAATCAATAAATAATAAAACCCAAGAATCAGCATCAGCCCATTCCTTGAATTATGCTCACTACTGCTAAAATAATGCCATATGCTGACTCTTTAAAGCACTTAGAGAGAGTGTATTAATTGGAATAAGATCTAAGGAAATGTATGGTATAAAATGTCTGTTGGTTTATTATTTTAATAGAAATGAATAAGAAGTTTGAAATAGGTATTTTTGATAAAATATTAAGAGACAAAATCTAAAGAAGTAATTTGGTTTACTGTCAGTGTATAAAGAGGGGGGGAAATCTGTCATACAAGTGATTATTATTTTGATATTAAATGAATGATTGTAACATTAGGGAATATGTCAAATGAGATTTTAAATTTAAGGGGTTTCATATAGAGATGAAGGGAAAAATGGAATTTGGTGAAGATTAGAGCTAGGATGAATGGGCAATATGGATTAAAAAAAGAAATAAAAGGGAGAAGAAGGAAATATATTATGGCAAAAGGGAATATAGAAATTGTATTGAAAAATTATTTAAATTTATGAACTGGCCAATACTCTGTTCAGAAAAAAAAAATACATTGTTTGTGTGTTTGTCTGTGTGTTAAAAAAGCACTTAGAGAGGGCTTAAAGCACCACCAAGTGGTATATACCGTATTTTTCAGATTATAAAACACACTTTTTTGTCTCCCAAAAGGAGGTGAAAATATCTGTGTGTCTTATAGACTGAATATTGCCGAAGCCCTGCCCACCCATCAGCCATTTTTTGGCCTCTGCACGCCCTGTTTTGGGGCCTTTTTTTGGCCTTTTTCAGGCCTTTTTTCAGCCCATTTTTGAGGCTTTTGGGGCCATTTTCGAGACTTTTCTTAGCCCATTTTTTATTTTTTCTGAATAAATGGGCCGAAAAAAATCCTAAAAAATGGGCCAAAAAATTCCTCAAAAAATGGCTGAAAAAATCCTCAAAAATGGGCCAAAAAAGCCTCAAAAACAGGCCAAAAAAAAGTCCAAAAACTGGGCCAAAGAAAGCTCCAAAAATTGGCCAAAAAAAAAGCTCCAAAATAGGCTGGAAAAAGGCTGGAAAAGGACCAAAAAAAAGAGAGGCCTGAACCAAGGCCTGAAAATGGGGCATGCGGAGGCCAAAAACATTTGTTGTTGTTGTTGTTTTCCTCTTCTAAATTTAGATGTGTTTTATAGTCAGGTGCATTTTATAGTCCAAAAAATACGGTAAGTCTGAGTGCTATTGCTATTGTACTTGAATGGTACCCCTGCTTTAAAAAAATAATTTAAAAAAAAGTCAACGATAACTGTGATTCTATTCTTTAAATTCTTTTCCCCCTTCCAGGTATCAAGTCAGAGTCCCAGTGGTAAAGTCCGAACAGGATGTGAGATGGCCTGATGAGCCCCTCCATCTGTTATACCAAGCCTCAAGGGCAGGGGTCGGCAACCTTAAACCCTCAAAGAGCCACAAATGTCCTAACTGGAAGCCCCCTGTTCAATTCTGGAGCCAATCAGAAGTCCGGTTCCCCCACCATAGAGTCTCTTCCTAGTGCGGTGTTCTTTTTCCTCTACCTGTCCTAACCAAAAGCCCTATCAATTGTGGAGCTGACCGGAAAACCCGTCCCTTGCCATAGAGTCTCCTCCTGGCACTCCATGCTTCCCCCCCACACACACACAACCGGAAGCTCCTGTCAAAATTGTGGTGCCGACCAGCGACAGGGAGCCGCAGCAGAGAGATGAAAGAGCCACATGAGGCTCCAGAGCCACGGGTTGCTGATCCCTGCTTTAGGGCTACACCTTCAACAGCTACAATACTAATAGGGAATATTTTGGGCTTGGCATGTCCAAAATTCAGAAAATGCTTAACTTGATTCTTCTGGCATGTCACACAGAACCATTTCCATTCAGTATTGAGATGTTATATTTCATTTTTGAGAGGCATTTTATGGGATGTTTTTCTGTATTCCTTTAAACATTCCATATTGTTATGAAGAATTTTTAAGGGAATAAAAGCAATGCAACTTTTTTTTAAAAAAAAGAAAAAAGAAAGAAGAAAGAAAGAAAGAAAGAAAGAAAGAAAGAAAGAAAGAAAGAAAGAAAGAAAGAGAAAAAAATTAATTCTAAAAATACTACTAAAGAATCTAGGGTTGACATTTGTCCCTAGTAGTTAAAGTAATATAATTGAACTGAGTTACCTCTTCGATCTATGATTTCTTTGATCTACAATCAAAGAAGTGTGGAGAAAAAGAACGGAGAAGTCCTTTTATTAGTAGGGATATGTAAATTCTGGTACAGTTTCCTTTTAAAGTGAAGCAGCTTTCTCTACAGGCTAAATGCAGAAACCTTTAGAGTGTGTGGACGTTTGAATGCATTCCATAGAATTCCTCTCTGATTGATCAAAGATGACTTTTTGGCTAAGCTCGGCAATCTTGCTCACAATTCTCAGAGGTAAAAATTTTTCATGCAAAAAAGAAGATTCTTCCTTTCTGGTTGTGGTTGGGCTTATACAGCCCATCTTCCCCAAGAGCTGCTGATAAAGTCCTACAGAGGAATGATTGAAGCTGTCATTTGTACTTCTATAATTGTGTAATTTGGTACAGCAAACTAAACAGGACAGGTGCAGAGTTTAGTTAGAGCTGCAGAAAGGAAGGAAAGAAGGAAGGAAGGAAGGAAGGAAGGAAAGAAGGAAGGAAGAAAAAAAGAAAGAAAGAAAGAAAGAAAGAAAGAAAGAAAGAAAGAAAGAAAGAAAGAAAGAAAGAAAGAAAGAAACCCAATTTCAACCAGCCTGCTTTCCACTGAGGACCTGTATACTGTACAGATCAGAAAGTGGGCTGAGCAAATATCTACTTACCCCTCACATCCTGAACAGAAACTGTTTCAATTCCTCCATTCAGGATGCCACTATAGGGCGTTGCACGGCAAAACAGAGACAATTTCTCTCTCTCTCTCTCTCTCTCTCGTTCCATCACTCTGCTGAACAGCTAATTCTCACAGTATTGGCATGTCTATTAACCATATTGTATGGCTGTAATATTATTGTTATCCATCTCATTTTTTCTACTACCACCCTCTTATTGGTATTATTATGATGATTATTATTACTCTGTTGCTTTGCATGTATATCGAGAGCTTCTGCACAAGCTTCTTGTGTGTCTATAATACTTAGTCAAATAAAGTATTTGATTCTATTCTATTTCCAGGTGTCCAATCTGATGTC